GGTTAGGTGACTTGAAGGATCTCTTGGTGCTTCCTGTGCTTTCCTATGCACATAAGCCCTGGCCCAATGCCAGAAATCTCCCTGTGTTGAGATCACTGCCCATGTAATCACGTTTATGCAGATCCACTGATGAGGACAGTTAACTAATCCTCCTGCCGTTCTCCTTCAGTACTTATCGCTTCTATCTCTCTTGCGTTGAGAACAAATACAGCCCCACTGCATATGTCAGCAGAGGCATTAAACTGAGGCCTGTATGACATACCTTGATATAAATGTTTTTCCCAGAACCTCAGTGAAACTGATTAATGAGCTGACCGCAGCGACACATCAGGTTGGGAATTCGTGTCCTTCAAACTTAAAGTCACCATAAAGTCAGAACATTGCTCTGATTTTAGTGCCATTCCATCAGCTGTTATAGGTCTGACACATCTGATGATTGCAGGGTGACTGTGATGCTTTTAGAAAATTTAAAAGTAGTAAACGAGCAGCTCTTTTTAATGGTAGCATGTATACATTGGAAGAAGCTGAGTATTTTAACAGGTAAAAATTGTTAGGTGACTTGAAGGATCTCTTGGTGCTTCCTGTGCTTTCCTATGCACATAAGCCCTGGCCCAATGCCAGAAATCTCCCTGTGTTGAGATCACTGCCCATGTAATCACGTTTATGCAGATCCACTGATGAGGACAGTTAACTAATCCTCCTGCCGTTCTCCTTCAGTACTTATCGCTTCTATCTCTCTTGCGTTGAGAACAAATACAGCCCCACTGCATATGTCAGCAGAGGCATTAAACTGAGGCCTGTATGACATACCTTGATATAAATGTTTTTCCCAGAACCTCAGTGAAACTGATTAATGAGCTGACCGCAGCGACACATCAGGTTGGGAATTCGTGTCCTTCAAACTTAAAGTCACCATAAAGTCAGAACATTGCTCTGATTTTAGTGCCATTCCATCAGCTGTTATAGGTCTGACACATCTGATGATTGCAGGGTGACTGTGATGCTTTTAGAAAATTTAAAAGTAGCAAACGAGCAGCTCTTTTTAATGGTAGCATGTATACATTGGAAGAAGTTGAGTATTTTTAACAGGTAAAAATGATATAGTTCATATTTGTTAATTGTAATAATTGTTATTGTAATTTAAGTTACTTTTATATTTATGGGTGGCAAATAATAGAATTTAAAAGACTATAAAATGCTGTAAAGTGTTATACAAATATTATTCAGAAGAAGGAATTACCAAAAAAATACACTTTTACAGTAAAACATTATTAAAACATTAAATATTGTTCAAATGAAAGTGTGAGTAACTAATCATTTATAGGGAAAAGTGCATTCCCAGATTTTCCTGTATGAACCATCAAATTTGTTTGGATTTTATTCATTTAGAAAGTTAGTTTATTCTTATTTTTGTTATTATCAATGTGCACTGAATGTTTTATACTCTATTTTATGTTTCTAGTCCATATTTGTCTTGATTTTAGCGTTACGTTTTGTTGTGGTTATTTTAACTGTAGTAAAAATGTTTACAGTGAACTTGCATACAGTCCCCTGGTGGACAGATTTTCAGCATGTTCAGTATGTTAGCTGGAAATTTGTTATAATGCAGCAATGTCAGAAAGATGATTATTTGAAGGGTTTTCTGACAGGAAAAAAAAAAATCACACAAAATGAATTGGATCTCCGTTGGAAGAGTTACCTCACTGACCTCTCCCCAGGGATTAAAATTAGCTTCTTTCTTTTTTTTACTCTTATCTCCATGGGTACGTCAACCTCTGACTGGATTTTAGGTCTCTTGGTCACAGTCAGACGCTACTCAACCCTACCTGGCGGGGACAATCCCTGCGTCATGCGATGGCAATTACAGGCTCCCTGACAGCTATTCAGAGTCCTTTCCTTATACTTCTACTGCATTACACAATGTCAAACATTGTGCCTTCCTGTTGACCCCGACATTTGTTTAGCCTGGCTCACCAGTTGTTTAACGTGCTCTAGCAACACTCAATACTTGAGTAATCAATAACAACAAAGCACTCTGTTTTACTATACAGATGACATTGTAGCAAGCAAAGTTACGCTGTTTAGATGCTGGTTAGGGAATTTTCAATTTTGCCATTTTATAGGCTTTTCTTGCATAGTTGACAAATCCATTGTTGGTTAACCATTCACTGCATCGTTCAAGCCCTCAGCAAGACTTTTGAATTAACCTTCTCTATAAACTCATACTGAAAAAAGCATTCATTGTAATGTAATGTTATTGTTGCAATCAGAACACCGTGACATTTTTCACTCTTGTTTGAGAACTGTATGGACCTTGCGAAAGGTGTTCGCATTGTCGTCTGTGTGGGAGGACATTTCAGGATAATTGTAATAGGATCGAGTATCTATCTATAGTAAGGATATAGAAAGGTTAGGAGCAGTTACTCAGTCTTTCCCCTCCCCCCACAAGGGAAGAATCAACCTGTAATCTCTTTAGTTTTCCTTAAACATTGTACTATTAAGCATTCTAGTAAAGGACAGCGGGCTGGCACATTGCGTCACAGTGTTTATTCTGTGAAATTAGTGAAATCATCCATCCCTTAGTGCATCATATATTTTCAGGAAGTGTGATACATTTGGATTGGTCTTAAAATGTGAACAATTTGGATTGGTCTTAATATAACTTCATATTTGTCTGTGGTGTAATTAATTCTGGTGTAATATCATGAAGTTGATCAAATGTACTGAATATGTAAAAGTGTGTTATGACATTGCTTTCATAAGGGTACTTATTTACGCCACCCACAATGACAGGACACTGTCAAGGTCAGCCGTTTTATTCTCCACCCAGGGTCATTATTAATCCCTTCTTAATGCAGTTCCAGTGAACGAGTTAGTTTCTCGATCTATTGCTCACTGTCTTTTGTAGTACATCACAGGTTGAGATTAGAATTTATAAGGGAGTAATGGCAGTACAATAATCTAAATGAGTTCCCTAAAATTCAAACTTGAAATAATTTGACTATAAACTTTAACATACAATGTGCACCTTCTCACAAACATCTTATTAAAGCATGAAAGTAAAAAAGTAAGAAAAGTAAGTAGATGGGTGGTGTAACTGGAAGCTGAAAGACCATTTCATATAATTTAAGGATTTTTGAAGAGGCCTAAAATTGATACAGCAATTTTAAGGCATGCTAAGGCTCAATTTATAAACATTTCATGATCAATGTCAATTTTTCAGTTTAAATTTTGGAACTCTGATTAATACATTTCTTGACATTGATAAACGGCAGTAAGATAACGTTATCCTAAAATTTCAGCAGAAATAGGGTCAGACTTAACGCCTACCTGGATAGCATTCACAGATTGACATTGTCATATGTACATTTTAAAAGTTTTGCATTGTTAATGCTTGTTTTTTGTGAGAATGTGATGTTTCTTCTACCTGTAATGCAGCAAACAGGCAAATTGATTTGATGAAATGTAATAGCCAGACAAGTAACTCAGTCTGATCAGGGTTATTTGATTACCTTGCAAGATGATTCAGATAAACTCACGGGACAACCTCCATATTCTAACAAAGTAGCTGATCAATAAGTGCTTGTCAAAGCCGATTGTGAATTGATGTGCAGTAGGAGAATGAGAGAACAGACGATGCAGATCACATTATCCTAATAAGGATGAGGGCACAGTCTCTTTCAGTCTCTCATTTTGTTTGCTCTTAATCCCATTGGCCTTTGCATTGTTATTATATATTCCAAAAAATGTCACTGTTTCTTTGAACTTTTGAATACCTGTAACACTTCAGATGTAAGAGAGTACGAGTTTTACCATTACAGAACGACCTTTAGGTGATCGTAGTGAATTTTGATTTTGAATACAGTGACTTAAACTTAAGTAGCACTGTACATTTTGATATGTGGATTTATGTATATTCTGAATACAGTGGTCACAATTATTTGGGCACTTTGGAGTTTGTATATGGAGTAAATTATGTTACGTCACTAAATGCTCTCCTCTTTTTGTTTTTTTGTTGCAGATTCTGGCCATAATATCAATTCTGTTCATCATCCTTTCAACCATTGCACTGTCACTGAACACCTTGCCGGAGTTACAAGTGACCGATGAATTCGGACAATCCAACGACAACCCAAACCTGGCCCACGTTGAAGCCGTTTGCATCGCCTGGTTCACTATGGAGTACCTTCTCCGATTTTTGTCTTCTCCCAACAAGTGGAAGTTCTTCAAAGGGCCACTGAATGTGATTGATCTGCTGGCTATCCTTCCTTATTACGTCACAATATTCCTCACAGAATCCAACAAGAGTGTCCTCCAGTTCCAGAATGTGCGCAGGGTAGTTCAAATCTTCCGGATCATGAGAATCCTGAGAATCCTGAAACTCGCGAGACACTCGACTGGTCTTCAGTCTCTTGGGTTCACTCTGAGAAGAAGCTATAATGAACTCGGACTTCTGATATTGTTTTTAGCCATGGGCATCATGATCTTCTCCAGTTTGGTGTTCTTTGCTGAGAAAGATGAAGATGCTACGAAATTCACCAGTATTCCCGCTTCATTCTGGTGGGCAACAATTACCATGACAACTGTAGGTTATGGGGATATCTATCCCCAAACCCTTCTGGGCAAAATAGTGGGTGGTCTCTGTTGTATCGCTGGCGTGTTAGTGATTGCTCTGCCCATTCCCATTATTGTGAACAACTTCTCTGAGTTCTACAAAGAGCAGAAGCGACAAGAAAAGGCGATCAAACGAAGAGAAGCACTTGAGAGGGCCAAGAGGAACGGGAGCATTGTGTCGATGAACCTGAAAGATGCTTTCACTCGCAATATGGAACTGTTGGATGTTGTGATTGAAAAGAATGATGAGAAGGGCGCAGACAATCATCTTTCACCCAGTCGCTGGAACAATCCGAAGAACCCAAATTCTGACTCGGGTTCCAAAGGCTATGATGCAAAATATCAAGAAATAGGTCAGTTGGCTTCTCCAGA